CTCTTCCGATCTCCCCAAAACCCCAAAACCCCGCTAGAAAGGCATCTTCAATAAGCTACAGCGAAAACAATATTTATTGGAAATTAATTTAAAGTAAATTATTTCTGAATTATTAAGATGAAAACGCAAAGTTTAAAAAGCAAGGGTAGTACCAAGGCACTTCCCTTATCTCATTAGAACAGTTCAGTCTCAATCAAGTTACTCAGGGAGCCTGTAGTTAGAAATATGAACAAGCCACTCATCTAGAAAAACATAGACAGGAAGCAAACTGTAATAAAACTGGAGGCTCTTTAAGAGGAATTAGCAAAGAGCCAAACTTCAACTAATAATACCACCAGTGAGCAATCGGATGTCAATTTCTCTAGCTAAAAAGTATTTTTACTCTAATTTTGACATATTTGTAGGAACAAGAATCTGCTCAGCCAGAGATGATATCAAAATCAGACTTCCTAATTCATGAAAGCATTTTGAAACAAAGAATAGCGTTTTTGGAAGAGTAACTAAGTGACGCCTAAAATAAGTAAAATATAAAATGTTTAAAGATTTAAAAGGCTCAAATATCAAGAGAGTCAGTATGAATCGATTATTAAGACTTACAAAACTATGGCTAGTGAAACGAATACTGGTGTTTAATGCTAAGAAGTAATTCAACCTATTATTTATGATTGTCTAGGTAAAAATAGAAAAAATTATGGAGGAACCTAGAACAGAAAATAATGAATAATCTGATAGACTATAAGCTGTTGATAATTTACAATTAAACGATTTGAAACAGCAACTCCTAGTTATGCAAGATCAAAAGAATGAACTAGATAAGTAGCTAAGCCTTTAAGACTAGGAATACCAAAAAATAGTGCAAGATATGAAGTTCAAATTAAAAGACTACAAATTGCAAGTCTAGGAATTTTAAATTAAAATCAAACATGTGGAGAACAGGCTCTCCTAGAAAGATGAATACATTAAAAGATTGATAGAGGACAATAACTCAAAGAATGACCTTGAATTAGAGACGATTAAACGAATGAATAATTTAGAAATGGAGAGACTTTGCGAGAAAAATGAAGCAAATTTATAGTAGATAAAAGAGATACACGAAATTGAGGCAAGATAATTGAACCAGAAAATAACAGAAATGAAATCTTAAGTTAGAATGCAAGAGTTTAAAATAACTGAACTCTAGTCAGATGCAAAGGACTCTGTTCATTCAAGTGTTGAAATGCTTGAAAATATACATCTTCGTTATTTGGATGAAATAAGAAGTCTTAACGGAAATCTATCTTCATTCAGAGTTGAAAAAGAAAACGAAATAAAAAATCTAATGTCAAAGTTGAGATTAGCTGAAGATAAATTATAGAAAGTGACAATTGAAAATGATTTAGCCTAGAAAAAACTTGTTACTTAGAAAAACTAATATGAATCAAAAATTCTAGGAAATAGGAAAAGGATTGACGAGATGTATAGACAGATAACAGAGCATGAAAAATATGAACTCTCGCTCCATGCTTCCAAATAAAAAATTAATGAGCTAAAAGCAAAAATTTAGTAACTTGAGTATAAGGACAAATGGAACTGGAAGTCACTAGTAAAAAAGAGGTCTGAAATTGAAAATGAAAAAGTTGAACTTAAACGAAAGATAAACTCATAGTATAAGTAAAATCAAGAGAAGCTCACAACTTAGAGATCTATGAATGAGGATTTAGAGAAGAAATTAAATGTTATGCAAGTAGAACTACAATCAGCTCGATTCTAGAAATAGATCTTGAAGGAGAAGTGCACTGAATTAGCCTAGGAGGTTTCATGCTTAAGGAAAGATAACTCTGTTTCACTTTACAGTAGTCGTGGAGCTTTGAGTTCTTAAAGATTATTTTTAACAAGGAGTGTCTCCCCAGGAACAGCTGCGGATGCTCAAAATATGTTAAGAGGTGGAGCTAATTGTAGAAGTAGATAAAACATCAATTAAAGCTAGTAGAATGGAAAATTTTTAAGCAAATAGCTCGCAAGTGCTAGATACAATAATTAAGACACACCATTAGAATAATGCACAGATACCTCTAAATATATCTCACCTCGTGATTACCCAGTTCCCAAGAGTAATATTGCCTAAAAAGTGAAACCAATATTCAAAAAGAATAGCATGTAAGAGCACTTAGATCACTAATTAGCAAGGAAGAATTTAAGATCAAAGGAGAGAATCTTCAATAATGAAATGACATCGATGCCTTCCCCTATTGGTACTTCTTAAAAGCACAACTATTTGAAAGATAGTACTCAAGAATTACCACCTCCTATGAAATTAGCTACCCAATAAAACAAAAAGGTTAGTCTTAAACTAAACCCTAATGACTTCAATGAAGATGATGCTAATTCATTCTTAGCCTCTCCAAAATAAGATATTATTTCATTCTTCAATGGATCAACCTAGATCCATGATAGTAAAGTTGGCAATATTTGTGATTCCTCTATTATTACCAAAGGAGCAAGACCAAAAGCAATGTCTTAATATGATGTAAGATGTAGAGTCTGCTCCTATGTGTTTGAATCTCTTGATTCTTTCTTGAGGCACTAAACCAGATGTAAGGGATTACTAGATATGAATTATGATGATGGAGATATAACAAACTTGAGCGATAAAGATTTGATAACTGGCTGTAACAATGTTATTGATTCATTAGCCGGTTCACCAGATATGAGAAAGCCATCACTTAATAATCCTCCTAATAAAATGTTAGAATTCAGAGAATCTGACATAAACAGCTAATAGATTTAATTGAATTATTCAGCATTGCAAGCATTAACTAAAAATGCATCTATGAATAATTTAAATACACCATAGAGGTCAAGGATAAGTTCAAACACTATTCCATTAAACCAAATAACTCAATCATCAATGTAAAGCAATAACTTTAATAACTTAATATTGGGTGAGAGTGACCTTCAACAAGCTATTACCGGAAATTTCCCGAATTAAAGCTCTCGTCTTCAAGCTGATAATCAACTTCATCTAAATATTAAAGATATCAATGAGGCTTAAATTGCAATAAATAATACTAGAATTTCAGCAGACTAATGTAATCTAGCCAGCATTAGGATCACTCATGAAGAGGAATAATCTGATATTCCTCTGACAGTGAAGCATATTAGAGAAAATGGAGAAAACTAAAATTTTCTAATGAATGATATTACTCAGCAGACTTTTGTCATTAATCCTAACATTACTCAGACTTTCAATAGAACTCTTTCAACCAGAACATAAGTTGACTTAGAGACAGAAAATGATAGATTAGTTAACGATTTGAAGAATGCTAAAATGGAGCTTGCTCTTGTTTAAGAGAAATAAGAGTCTAATGAGCTAATGCTAAAGAAAGAAATCATAAACTTACAATTACGACTGAGTCAGTTCTCATAAGCAGAGAAGTCAGGATCTCCAACTCCAAATTGCAAATACGGTTAGTATGAGTAAATTATACATAATAATTTCTCATCTACTGCAAGTTTAAACCATATGCAGTCAAATTAGTCATTTACTTAGAATTCCTAGCCAACAATGGCACAATCGAATGCCAATTATTAGCAAACAACAAATGGAACATGCTATACAATTGGTTGTAATTCTGCACCAGGTAAAAATGAGTTTGGCTTCAATAGAGCACGAATGTAATAGTTATAATAAAACAATTAAATGACTTAGAGCCTCACTCTGAAAAACAATATGAATACTTCACAGTTTTTGCAGCCAAAGAGTATGCTTATTAAAGATGGAGATTATTCCTCTCCTCAAAAATATACTAATGATGATCCATTTAGTGACGGAATGAACAGCGAGTTGAAGGTAGTGGTTATGAACTCACCTAGTGAAAATATAGAAAGTCCTGAGCCTAATTCTCTTAGGTTACAGAAACCATTCTAAATTTAAGCCTTTGAAGAGGAGTCTAATTAGGATAGAAGCTCATAAAGCTCAAATAATATCAGAATTAATAGATCTCCAAATCTCCTTTTAAGGAAATTAAACTGAAAATATGAAGCAAAGTAACAACAGCTTGTTTATACAAATTGAAGCCTACTAACTACGATTATAATTATTCTTCTAGATTTATGTTATATGATATAATTAAAATAGCCTTATTAATCTTTCAAACTATTTGCTTTTGTAAATTTATGCCAAATATTAACATGCGGGGTTTTGGGGTTTTGGGGTTTT